TTATAACTTAATCTCTTTAAAAAGTATCACGACGCTAGTTTTCTGGCCTTGTTTACATATTTGTTGTTGTCACTTTTCTTGTTACATTTTTCAGCGCTATACATTGCTAGTAGCCTCTTACACAGACGCTCTTTGGGCTCGTCACGCAATCTTCCTGACGAGCCCAAAGAGCGTCTGCGTTAGAGGCTGCTTACATTATTGAGGGTGACTTCAGGCATGCGCGGTGGTTTGGGTGGAGCCACTGTTCTGACAACAAACCGCACTGGATTCTTGGCTCGCTTGATAATCTCCACTGCCTCGTCATGTGACGCGTCACGAAGATCGTGCCCATCAACCTAACAGGGGTAGAATGAGTAGGCTTAGAAATACGTTTTTACTAAACAACTTTACAAGTCAGTCAAACCAAGCCTAAAATCCTCACCTCCAAAATCTGGTCACCAGTAGCCAACGTTCCTAAACGCGCAGCAGGACTGGACTCCAGTACATGCCTGATAAAGATTCCTTTGAGGCCCATGCCCTGGGGTCCGACTTTGCCACCAATGATACTAATCCCCAGGCCACTGTCAGGCTCGCGGTTGAGTTCCACCACACGAACTCCTGGTTCATCGTAGATGGGGGGTCTAGCCGGTTGAAGCAGGTCAGGCAGGTTTTCTACTCCCTCGGGAATATTGTACTCTTCAGATTCCTCTCTGAAAGTTTGAATGAACTGGGCGTTAAGTTAAGACACGCTCTGTCTAATACAAACTGGGCTATAAATTAAACGAAACTTCAAAAAAACGAACCAAAACGGAAGAATAGCATCAAGGTAACGCTAGAAAGTATAAGATCAAAAACGGGTTGCAAAAACTCATAACGTTATCACCTTCTCTGCTCTCGCTCAGCTTCAACCTCCAGGGACTGGGACGACGAGTGTACTGACGACGTAGAGCTGTCTTCCAGGAAGGACGAGGGAGACTGTTGAATAGCTCGTGCTGGCGTCATCTCACTACGAATGAAAGTGAACCTGGAGAACAACATGAGATGGGTGAGTTACAAAACAAAACGAACAAATTAACAACACGTTGAAAATAAAAAATTGTACAGAAATTAATTCAGAAATACTTACACGATGTCCTTCAGCAAAGATTGCTTTCTGAGCACAGACCTGCAAGAAATAAACAGGAGTAATGTTAACGATACTGTTTCCTTGGAAACGCCATTGTCGTTGGTGAGCAACGGGACGTCAAGTGCTCACGACAACTTTAATTTTGCAGTACTGATGTCCTTACCTGGCCCTGTGGCCTGATAAACTAATCATGCTTTCATCATTCACGGAAACAATGTGATCTCCAACTCCAATCCGTCCATCTAATCCCACCGCACCGCCCTTAAGTACAGACTTCACCACACAACCACAGCCGTCTTCATCACCCTTCAGAGTCAAACCTGGAATGACATGGAAAAATACAGCAAATGAAACAGTTTAAATTACTTGTGTGTAACATGGCTTGGCGAAAGCACGGAGTAAATGGCGCGTTGGAAAGTACCAGGCATTCTAGTGATTCGGAAGTTCTTTCCAGATCCAAGTGAACATTCCGGAAACTCGAGAAAATTGTCATCCGTTGCTCGATTTTTCAGGAAACATAAAGACAGAAAGATGTCAAAACGTTCTATGCACGGTTGTTGGCTGTTTTGTTGGCTGCAAGGTTTGAAAAACTAACAGAAAAGTCAAGTCAGACCCGTCCACACTACGCCGCAGGAATCTGAAAACGGAGGTTTCTTTCTACAGTTAGGCCTACTGTCCACACTTATCCGAAAACGCTCTTCAAACCGGAGAAATTTGAAAATGCCGGCTTTTCGTTTTCCTGTGAACGGAAAACACTTTGAAAACGGAGCTTTTTCGAAAACGACGGCGTTACAATAATCATGTGATTTTCCTGACCCCGTTTTCCTCAAACACAAATTCAAAATGACCGGTGATTGTTGCGTTTTTAAATTTCTCCGGCGTACTGTGGAAGGAAAACAATCATATGATGCGTTTTCAGAGTGAAACCTCCGTTTTCAAATTCCTCCGGCGTAATGTGAACAGGGCATCATTCTCCAACTGAAAACCCGAGTCACAAACAATCCACTTACCCAGTTTTCCAACCATCTGTCTTCGAATAGTGATAGTCTCAATTCTTGATTTAATATTATCAGGTAAACTGTCCATATCAATGGAGTCTCCTGAAAACAACAGCGGCGGTCCAAAGTCAAACTTTGATGACTGTTCACTTTCGCTACCACTAGACTCGTTATCACTCTCCTTTTCAACTTCAATATCACCCATCAGGGCGGCCTGTTGGTCTGAAAAAAAA